TTTCTCTAATAAAAAGCTACCTCACATGACTTATAAAGATTTAGAGAGTTCACAGATGTGAAGCACTTAGTAGAGATCCTGGCATATAACGGACACACAAATCCTGGTTTTCTTCTTTCCCTATGCTCACCTTTTATCAAACTGGCTTCCTCACTGAAGCTCGAAAGATATGGCACAATACCCTGATCTGTCCCTTTGCTATTTCTTCCACCTACACTGTACTTCCATCCCCTCTCCCTATGTCTAAAGCTAAGCTGTCCTTTAATAGTTAGCTCAAATGTCATTTCATCCCTTCAGTAACTATGCTTACTTGGGAACAGAGAGACCAATCAAAGTGAGGCACTCAAAGACTACAGTCTTACTGCAGGCTCAGAAATACAAACAACACTACATCCTGCCTCAGGAAGAAGGTAGAACAAGCAGCTACAAATGAGCAACTGGGAGTTCTGTGTGGTTTTTGCCTTTTAGTCTCACATAAGAAACTACCAAACATAAGTGTGCTCCAAATTCTCCTAAACCAAATATATAAACTAGATAAAATTGGGTGATCATTTTTAAAATGTTACTTCATTTATTGTTCTTTAGAGACACCTCAGTATTCCTTTAAATAAGTCCCCTTGTTGCATTTAAATATAATTACAAAACCTCAGTTAGCCATAACTTTATGACACACATTATTATGTAAAGTATGGTATACTAATATAAAAGTAGATGTAAACTAGAAAGAAAACAAAGTACAAGTGGTTCAAAATACTCTTAATTTCCTTATGTATTGGTAAATCATGAGTCTAAATTTCAAATTTTCAATTTTATTTAGTTCAATTGATATTAAATTAAGAAGACAATTCATACATCAAGCTCCTCCATGCTTACTAAGGTTACTACTGTCACATTATTTCTCGTAAGAGACTGCCTGCTAACCACAGTGATCCCATAACTAGCCCCGCATGGTAAGCTCCTTTTCACTGTTAAGTTCTACTTCACCTTGAAACAGAACTCTCTGTGTAACTTGCCGCCCCTCCTCTGCCATCTGGTAATTGCTTCCTCATCTGTGTTCTAAAAGCACTTCATACACACTTCCATTATGCCACTAATCATCCTGTTTACATGTCTGTCTCTCTCTAGCTCTCCCCAGACCATGCCCTCCTCCCAAATAAATTGTGAGAAGCCCAAGGAAAAGAAACACATGATAGGTAGTACAGAACTGTGGTTAAGAGCAGACTCAGGACAGCTGGGCTTAGAATCCCGTTCTGCCGCTTTCCAGAAAGAT